TCTCCGTGAAATATACTCATTATCCGCGCTTTGTCATAATTACCGGCCAAGACCATCTGTCGCGGGAAAGAGACTTATTCGCGAGGGATATTCGGGGGAAAGTACAATTTATTTATCGCTTTTCCGCGAAGGAGCAGGTGCAAGTAGGAAATGACGCCGATATATACGGTCGGTCGTTCTCTCCGCTCGCTCGGGTGTCGCGTTCTCGCCATAGATCCAAGGTCAACGCTGTATACCGGTGTCGAGGAGTAGCTCGCGCAGAGGTCGTCGCGCTCGATCCTGATTAATGGCTTTCGAGATCGCGTCTGCGAACGCGCTCCAGGTGCATTGACATCGCATCGGTGCTGCGGGCACCGAAGTAAACGTATAGGTATCGTTCGAAATTCACGTTTCCGACTCTGTTGCGGCCAATTTGCGTGAAACTTACGATGGAAAATTCTTTAGACACAAATTCAATTTGAACAACTTTTCAACCAAAATTAACTTTGAAGATCTGATGATGATTTATAGATTTTAACGTGTGATAAATACTATCTGAGCCACCTTACAATCAGTAAAAAAATTAAATCTTTGCTCTCCTTTTGATTAAACACTTTATTTAATAATATAAAAAATGAAAATAACAAAATAAAATAGAACGATAAAAGTATAAAAAATTTAATTATGTCCATGTATGGAGTCTGTATAAATGAATTAATGGAATTAGCTTGACATTGCGTATTTTACACAAAATACACGACATAATTCTGAAAATCTCATATTTTGAGCTACAGTAAGTACTCCTTTTTCGAGAAAGAAGAAGAGTCTGAATTTATTCGATTAAACGTACGACAAAAGGACAAGTTGTCTAGCATTCGACGAAAATAGATTTGAAGGAAAGAAGTTGCGCACATACAAGTCACGAGATTACAAACGTTAATGCCAATGTGGCACTCTCCGATCCGAGGACGACGACGAGTAGCTTAAGAGAGGTCGTCACTCGATCCTGATTAATGGCCCTCGGTATCGCGCGGGGCTGTAAACAGTATTAATCAGGATCGAGTTTACGGTGCGCGGACGCGTCACGAATCGCATTAATCAGGATCTCAGGATCCCCCAGTCTAACGCGAAATGCTCAGTGTCCACGTTACGTTACGTATATGCATTGATTTACTCTGCGTTTTCCGAATATCCTGCAGTCGCGTCGTTCCTCTTCTTATTCAGACATCCTTAATCCGATACATTCGACTTTCATCTCTCTTTCGCGACTGAAGATAACCAATAAGATATATCAGATCTTTTTCCTCAACAAATTTCATAAGATCTCTCTCTCTCTCTCGAAAAAGTTGCTCGGATAGCTCGAGAAGAACGATTTGTAGGCGCTATTATAAATAAAACAGGAAATGTGTGGGGTCTTGAAACTCGATGGTTCAATGAATTATATTATATTATATATTCGCGGAAATATTTATTACGAATTAATGTGTTTATCGAGCTCGCGCGATATTTGTTAAGCAATATTATTATATAAATCGGAAATCATACGGTCGCATTTGAGCGTTAAATGCGAGATACGATCTCGGCCTTTGCATATTGCCTCGTCGCGAGATGTGTCGTGATATATCGCATACGTCATTACATGGCAACCGGAACTGGCGGGACATATTTGTGCCTATTCCAACATCAATTTTACAGCTGTCCGGTCGAAAGGACGAGCCTCTCGGGGCTATCGGCCTTGTTGTCGTTTTACGTTGTCCGTGACGAATGAATTTAGCAACGGGCGTGCCAGAGAATCCAACATTGTATATAGTTTACAAGGCTTACTGTCGAAATCGGTTTAGCGGCTGTCAAAAATATTCGAAAATTCACTCGAGTTAGCACTCGGTTGCAGGACCGGCCGACAATTATATTACGAATCATAATTATAGTACCAAGCTGATTTGCAAAAAAAGAATTGCAAAAAATGTCAATTCCTCATGAATCGAAATATTGTACGATGGAAAAAATAATAGGATTTTATCCTTTTATTTTATGATTAGGACCTCTTTTAGAGGATAAAAAAATCCTTTTGTATTACACGTGCAGGCAAAGTGGCATCTTGTGTGCGGCGACGCGGTGAGTGAATAAGCCGCATTCAAAGCCATTGCCTACGGCTGAGTCGCGTTCAAAGTCATTGTCCACGGCTGAAGTCGTGAGCAATGTATTGCCCACGGCTTCAGCCGTGGACAATGACTTTGAACGCGGCTATTCCCGCACCGTGCCATCGCAATTTAAGATGGCGGCGTGCGATCGGCCACCTCGCGCACAAAGCCACTTTGTCTGCACTTGCAATACAAAATAGTATGTGTATCACGTGCGAATTGACAATTGGTCACTTTCCGCACTTGATACACAATATACTATTATAGAATTAGAATAGAAAAATAGGGATTTTTAATAAAAAATTTATAACAGAAAGAAAATATTTTTCAATTTGTTCTCGATTCTAAAAAGTGACTCTAGCTATATAAATATATTTCTCATTTATGTTTCAAGACGTCATTTTCTGGAGTCGAGAATCTCGCCACTGGTGAGTGAAATATCGATTTTCGATCCTTTCTAGCGAAAGGGGACTGTTTAAGTAGAAAACTGTTGTAAGCGAGAACTGTTCGATCGGAACAGTTTGAACAGTTTCCTTGACATCGTATCTTTATCGTATACGAATGCAAGTCGCGTCGCTCGTCTCGAACGATCGAAAAAATCGCGCAGCGGGATATCTCTTCCGATAATCCTCCGGCAGGGACGATCGGCACACTTTGAAAGGCGAGTTTTTCACTTCCGCGATTGCACAGAGAGACGCCAGAATGTCGGAAACAATGGTTCGATGGATTGCCATATTATCGGTATCATACGTTTTGCTTCTCTCTCGAATCATCGATCGATCGGCTTTCACTGATACCGCGATTCCCCTGCATTTTATGCGGCATATTATTACGGGAGCACCTAGCTTAACTTTTCCCGCTTACGGGCTGTGGCGGGTTTAGCTCGTTTAAGTTACTATCTCATTACCATATCACTGTTGTCTCGTAACTCACCGCGGTCATTTCTTTATTATTATGTCCCGGTACAACGTTCTTTCCTCTCTTCCTGCATACTAGGATGTTGTTATCGTTATTCGTAACTCGAATCACTATTCGCATTCAAAAGAAACTACTTATTGCTTGCAAATTTCTGTATCTTCAATGAGACCACGATGCATTTTCTAAGACGAGATAATAATTCGATAAAACACGATTTTTGCACATACCCTTTTCTTTTTATTGGTTGAATAGAATAAAAAATTATTTTTCACGATTAAAGTACATGGAAAAATAAAACGCGAACGTATACCGATTTATGTTAAAAACAAGAAAGTTTTAATTTTTAATTAGACAATTTTTTTGTTTTTAACATAAAATCGGCAGGTTCGCACTTTTTTCTGCATATACATATGCACTTTAATAGTGGAAAAGCATTTATTATTCTATTCAAGCAATAAAAAGAAAAGGGTGCGCAAAAATGATGTTTTATCGATAAAACGCGTTTAGGATTCCCTTAAAATATGTACCGAATATTTATGTGGATTTTATTAGAAGCGCAGCTTCACGTGTCGTAAAACTTCGAAAGTGAGAGTACGGGAATAACAGGGACGAAATTTAACTTATAGCAATCGGATTACACTCGCGGTACTTTATGTATGTACATACATCCTCGTACACAAAAGAGCATCGGGATCAGATCCGCAGGAGTCGAGGAGGAATTCTTGCATTACGAAAAAAAAAAAAAAAAAACGAGACGCAAACGAGATCTAAGACCCGCGTACATCGTCTCCTTCGGCGACTCTTTGAAGATGGCAGTTTAATTTGCGCGACGGCTGTAAAAGCCGGCCAACGTCGGCGCTTCTCCGAAAGCCCGGCATGCCCGGATATACATATACATACTTTAAAAAAAAGGTAATTTTTTGTTACTGACATACCGTTAACTGGGCGCCTTTTTTTACCTTTTTTTTTTAAAGTAAATTTTTAGAGATTACTTATACCAAAAAACATTTTCACAATAAATATAATGTAATTTTTCACATTTTGCAGCATTTTTAAATCTGTTAAAAATATCAGTAAGAAATGTCAAATTATGTTGTACTAGTTATGCAATATTATTTTATAAATATATATATTAATATTAAAATTAATATTTTATTTAAATAACTTTTTAAAATTAGAATGTGGCTTCACATATAAGAGAGAGAGAAGAGAGAGAGAGAGAGAGAGAGAGAGAGAGAGAGAGAGAGAGAGAGAGAGAATTGTGTCATGTTATTTATTGTAAACTAAAAAATGCTGATCAATCACAAATTCTACATAATTAATAATATAAAATATATAATATAATTAATTTCTGTAATAATATCCAGTTCAACTACTTCAAACAAGATCGCAAAAAAATGAAAATCTTGATGCATGCAGTCATATTGTTTTATAAAAATAAATATAAAGGCATTGGATAGTAATACATCTAAATAAACACAAATTAAAGCAGTAAAAGAAATAGTAGGTACGTACAATATAAAAAAATTCTTCATATGGAGTACGTTCACGTATGCAAGGCTGCAATTTTTGTTTTTACATCCACCGATTAGAAGAAATAACGGTTAAAATACTGTTTTTGTCTTTTGATTTGTTTCTTGCGATAATAAACGTGGCTCCTAATTCGGGAATATAAGTAAGCCTTATCTATCAAATCGCCATTCCCCTAAAACAAATAGTTTTATTAATTATAAAATATTAAATAAATATAGTAATCTCATTCCACATTATGAAAATCTAATATATATAAACAAAGATTGGCATAATGAAATCAACATACTGTTTATATGTATAACAAATGAAACAAATAAAAAAAATAATATTCAGAAATTAGTAAGATAGAACAATATTTCATTTTTTTTGCTTTTCATAATAATATTTATTTTTACCTCCTTTAGTCGATATCTTTTAAATTCATCTTCTATTTTATCCACTTCAACTAAGTTAGTTTCTACAATACTGGCAGCATTTTTCAATATTGACTAAAATGTATTATTTTTATAACATTATTAATAATCAACGCTATTGTAACATTATCAAAATTATTTTAAACGTTAAATAATTAATAATATTACATTAAACATGTAATATATTTACCTCAGTTCGATTTGCGGTATATACGTTATTAATCATAACAATTAATGCTGCAATTATATTAACATTTCTAAAAACAAAAAAAAACAGATGTATATGTAATACATATAATAAACTTTTATACAAAATATTTATAAAAATATGTCACATTACTTTGGTTTTATTTCGTTAAAATTTTCTAATATATACGTCAGTATAATTGGATTTTTCGCATGCTTCGTAATAATATGTAAGAAACTGTTAACGAAAAGTGAATTAATTGTCCTCTTCTATATGAATGTACTCTTTTTATATCTTAAACACATTTTGATGACATCAGTATCTTCAGCGCAAGCTAAGTATTCTAAAATTTTAGCGTCAGATCTGTTGGAAATGGTTGACGCGACCTGGGCAACCCGGTCGTGAACTCTCCTTCGCGATAATCGGCCACGCTCGTGAAGGGAACTGGTTTTAATAACTCAGTGACCTTCGCTTGCGGTTTTCGAATCATCGCGTCGTTTTGCTCGCGAAAAAGAGAAAAGCGGAGAACGCGATCGCGCGATATCGAAACTAATGAGACTGGTATAAGTGTACTTTACCATACCAATCGTCATTTTTTTTCTTTTTAATAATATGTAATACTTGGGTTTTCCATTTGAGTAAATCTCGATTACGTCTCAAGAGATGGATTAATTATATTTGGTTCAATTTTATTTCTTTCTTTCTCTCCCTCATCAGCAATGATTGTCTGCGTATTATTTCTCAAAAGCCTCCTCTTATGAATATGTTATTAAAGATTTTTGCTCGCATTGTTATAATTATCTACATTATTCTCTTCATGTGCAGAGTCCTTCGTCTGATATGTAATACTATCTATGTGTTGTCTCGAAGAAGACGAATTTAATCTAAGCCGCATAAAAAATCATATATTATTATATTAAATTATAATTATATATAAAAATATAGTCTACGATAAAATTCGTCTTTTAAAAAAGATCTGAAAAAATTAGTTTATTATTCAACAGCGAAATCTTATAAAACTTTGTTCAGTATAGCATCGTTAAATGTTCTTGATTAACGTATCATATATTCAATAGCCAGTGACTTATTTAACCACTCACGTGACAATTAACCGTAAACTCAACGAGTTATCTCACACAAGAATGAGCACTATGGACGAGTAAATTACCGGTAATTTTTCACGGCATATACCGGAAAAATAATCAGGCTAGAGTGACTATGAATTTCGCGAGAATGGCGACTACCGGCAAGCATCGGCTCGCGAAAAATGCGGAAAGACGTTAAGCGATCGTTCCTCGAGTTCTGTGATAACAATGGAACATTGTACGCTAATGTCGCGGACGTGATTACGCCCGCGATATCGCGATACACGATCGTGTGGGTGAAAATCGTGTCATTAGTTACGGTCCGTTAATTGCGCACCCGACTGATCACTCTTTAGCGAACCCTGATAGCGATTTCCGTCCTCGCCACCGGAAATCTCCGGTCTCGAGAAAATTCGGTTTCAGCGAATGATAATTAATTAAATCTACCTGGGCGAAAGATACAACTTCTAACTAAAGGCGATCCTAAACGTACTTGAGAAGTCTGTTGTTTCTTTCCTGTTTTATCGACAAATTGTGAGATCATATAAACTATAAATTTATTGATTGACTATATATACGGATTGTTTTTTACCCGAAATGAGAGCGCTTCGCCCTTTGTTAATATTAATACTTTAATTTGTACAGTAAAAAGATTGATCAATCTGTATAGTCTCATATATCTAAGTTACGGAATTATGAATTCGAGAATTCAAAAATGCTGTAATCTAGATCTATGAGACTAAACAGATTGATGAGTCTTTTTCCTGTACAAATTAAAGTATTAATATTAACCAAGGGCGAAGCGCTCTAATTTCAGGTAAAAACAATCCGTATATTCAATAAATAGATTTATAGTTGATCTCATCTCACATTTTGTCGATAAAACAGGACGGAAATGACAGACTTCTCAAGGACGTTTATAGGATCACCTCAATAAGTATTTCTTCTCTTGGACTAGAGAGACTATTACAAAAACTGGTTACTCGAAAAGACCTCTTTGTTGGATATTTGATTACGAAGAAGGGTAGATTTAATTAATTATTCCTGTACAAATTAAAGTATTAATATTAACCAAGGGCGAAGCGCTCTAATTTCAGGTAAAAAACAATCCGTATATTCAATAAATAGATTTATAGTTGATCTCACCTCACATTTTGTCGATAAAACAGGACGGAAATGACAGACTTCTCAAGGACGTTTATAGGATCACCTCAATAAGTATTTCTTCTCTTGGACTAGAGAGACTATTACAAAAACTGGTTACTCGAAAAGACCTCTTTGTTGGATATTTGATTACGAAGAAGAACGCGGTTTCTCTCTCGCCCGTCGTTGGGATCTCGAAGGTTAAGCAAACTGCCCGTTCGCGGGATGCAGTTTTTAGTCATCATCGCATTCCCCTCGTGGAAGTAACCCGACCGGGTTACATACCATCACGCGCCGATGCGCCGCCACGTTAGCGTTAGTTATTATTGTTATTAGACTGCCAACTGCGGTATCGTATTCGGCGCGGGAAGCGGAAGAAAGGGGCCGTGGTGGGAGGGTAAAAGGGGAGACACTTCGCGGTATACATATACGAAGGTGCATTTATACGAAGATGCCGTCCGATTGCGCTCGCTCCGATCTGCATGCGAAGAAAAACGGGGGCGGTCGGGCAATTTGCGGTGAATGTAGGCCACAAACGTGCGCACCGTGTCGAGATTAGGATAATAAATATGGCCGAGGTGAAATCATCCACCGCATGTCTCTACGGTTGACCTTACCGTATAGGCCGTTTCCATACCGCGAACAAGAAAAGACGTAGACGACGAGGAGAAGAGAGAGAGAGAGAGAGCAAAGAAGCACTCTACATGGCTCCTCTCGTATATCGTAGCACCCTCGCCGCGCGTTTTACGTATAACCTACATTTTACCTGCTCATCTTTCGACGAGAAAGTTGACAGGTGAGCGTCTCTCCTCGCTACAGATATTTCTCCAATTTTTGTAAATTCTACAACTATTAATTTTTCGACATTTTTTCATATATACGTGCATGCATTTTCGAAAGCAGATTTATCACTTTTATATATTTTCTTATAATTCGATTACTTTGTGTAATTAATTTATATTTCGCCGTTTTATCAATAAAACATCATTCTTGTGCACCCTTTTCTTTTCATTGGTTAAAAAGAATAATAAATGTTTTTCAGCGATTAAAGTACCTACATAGAAATAAAGTGCGAACCTACCTTTTAATTACAATATTTTTTGTATCACACGTGCAGGCAAAGTGGCACTTTGTGTGCGAAAAGCGGCCGATTTCCCACGCCGTCATCTACAGCCGCATTCAAAGCCATTGCCTACGGTTGAGCCGCGTTCAAAGTCATTGCCCACGGCTAAAGCCATGGGCAATACATTGCCCACGTCTTCAGCCGTGGACAATGACTTTGAACGCGGCTATTCCCGCACCGTGCCGTCGCAAGATGGCGGCGTGCGATCGGCCACCTCGCGCACAAAGCCACTTTGCCTGCACTTGTAATACAAAATAGTATATGTATCACGTGCGGATTGACAATTGTTTACTTTCCGCACTTGATAGACAATATACTATTAACGTGAAATTGGCATTTATTATTCTATATTCAATCAGTAAAAAGAAAAGAGTGATGTTTTAAACACATTGCAACAGCATCGAAGATTATACTCCGGTATCCGTCCACAATAATCCTTGATGCTTCGACTCGGTTGGCGAGTCTGTCCTTCGTCCCTCGCGAGAAATAAAGGAGAATAAGAAGTGCGCGCTCTTATCCCGATAAAGAAAAAATGCAGGAGGATAAATCACGCGTACGCCTCCCGCGTGTTAATCTGAAAAAAAAGAAGTCCCGGGGCAAAACCGACGAGAGGCGGAGTGCAAGATCAGAGAGCTGGACCAAAAGGGACAGGCGCCCTCGCGCCATCGCGTCGCGTCGCGTCGTTGCGCCAACATGTCATTGTTTATTGCTGCGAATCGCGCGCGAGATGGTATCAATTGAATGGTCCGGAACGAGATTGATGCGGTCCCAGCGGGCAACTTTGCCGGAACATCATCGACGAGTTGCTCTGCCTCTCTCTCTCTCTCTGTTTTTCTTTCTCCGTCCTTCGTCGGTCTTTCTCTCGCTCCTTGTGTCGCCCGCAGCGTTAATTGTTTTCCTAATTCGGACACACCAGATAGGATTATGTACATCTCCAATTACAGTGATACATCGACAACACGCGATGCGACACCTCCGCAAACCTCTTCGATTTTATTAACGTTCTCGCCCGTATCCCCCTACATCCTTATTTTTATCAGTTTATTTTGCGCCGTTAAATTTATTTGCATGTAAATTTAGTAGAGCCATTCCCGTCGAGGGCCTCATCGGAATTCCTGACCCCTATGGAGATAATGTTATCTGGAATTATTGCAATTACATGCGTCTGATTCTTTTTTTCCTCGAAGAGACATTCGATAAAAATAAATTCTAATTTATGAATTAATGATCATTTTTTTTGTCAAGAAAAACGAGACTTATAAATGTGCTACATACGCTGGTAATCTCAATTTAGCTCTCTAAAGAATACAAAAATCGATCAGACTTTTTCGTCGCGACGTTTAATTATGGTAGAAGCATCGATTGAAAAGCTGCTTCGATCGTTACCTTTAATTACTTTTAACTCTCGTGCGACTGTCGTTGATTAAATGAGGGAGAAGCGATGAATTTTATATTATCGACTCGTGAAAGACCTGTCCGATTCGCGAGACTCGCGTGCGAGAAAGAATTTTTGTGATGTAATTGAGCTGTAAAAAGCGCCGTCGACTAAAAACGACGGATAGATCCTGTCTTGGAGAACGGCTCCATTGTTTCTTGTGAATGTTCGCGTGATCGATCAATCGACGGACGCAATGATGCGGTACTTTTTCCACGTTTCGCTCCTCCATCGACCTTTGGACTTAATCAAGATTCCCAAGCTCGTATACACGAATCGGAGCAACGTCAAATTAGTATTAGCCAATAATCTTGTCAGAAAGAAATGCCGACTGAAAAGCAATCTAGCGGGACCCTAGATTCGCTCAGATTTCTCTTCTAACGGATAACAATGCAGTGCTACAATGTCAGAATAATATTTGGTAAAGATTTATATAAGATGCGAGAAGAAAGAAAAGGATGATTGAAAATTCTCCATCGAATTCGAGTATTATATGTTACGCGATACAAAAATGATCAACTAAGCTCATATGTTGAAATTCTCAAAATTTCATTCATAAACTAAATTTTTAATTGAATTAAAAAATGTTATCTATAAATTAAATATAAAAATCTTTAAAAAAGTGTATCTCTATAAACTAAATTTTTGAATTTGCAGGTGCCACGAGCGACGCGAAAAGGTAAGATCGGAAAGCGGAAACGCGGGTGAAAGTGGTGCGATGCACCTCGGCTACACCGAAAGATTAGCCGTGTAAGGTGACCGGCTAATCGAGGAACCGGAGGCTTCGTATTACCTCACGAACGTCAAATGGGACACGCCTTTTCTCGGCGCGCAACAGCTACCATTAGCGCCCGATCTTTCTAACAGCTGATCGTTACAAAAATTATTATCATCAAGTATCCGCGAGACCCTGATCTTTTAGCTCCTTTTATTTTCTCTCTTACACTCAACGTATCGTTAAACACTGGACATTACTCTTTTTTTAATTGAATTGAATTGATTTGAAGCGTTTATTACGTTTTAAAATGAGTATTTTTTTAGAAATTAAAAGAACGTACAATATATGATGTCTAATATATATATATATATATATACTAATATATACTATAATAGATAACATTATATAACCAAATAAGAGATAGAGATCGTTTACGAGGTAATAATGATGGATTATGAATTAAAAAAAAATTATGAACGGTACGCTTCGAAAATGAAAAATTTGATGAATATAGATGTTTATCACAAAAATAAAACACATTTTTAACAAAGTGATAACCACGGGACGACTGTCTGACCAGAGAACACTCTTGCGATCGTAACTATACACACAGAGAATTTTCTCTTAAAATTTACCCTGAAAACCATGATAATCGTGGAACAATGTAGTATTGGAAGAATTTTATAAGAGTTTCTTTGATTAAAAAAAATATTTATCACAATAAAAAATATTAATATCTACCACAATAAAATATAAAATATGTTCGATTAATTTTACTATGTATGTACATGTGGATACACATTATTATTTTTTTACATTAATTATATTATTTTATATTAATATTATTTTACATGTATATATTAATATTTTTTATCTTGGTAAATATTAAACAGAAAAGCTCTTATATAAAATTCTTTCATATATTGTCCCACGATTAGCATAATTTTCCGGATGAATTGCAAGAGAAAATTCGCTCCGTGTTCTCCGTTCTCTGCGATTTGTGGTTTCGCTCGTACATTTTCGTGCCTTTTCACCTTCGGCCCTATCGCATCCGCTTCCGCCTACGTCCTGCCGGTCGGCGAAGCGTGTACCGCACGCATGCACGCGTGTATAAAGCTCGAGCCTGGCGCCGGGAGGCGCCTTTTCACGGACTGACGCAGCCAGGCACGCGTGCAAAGCGAGCAATAAGGTAATGGGGCGTAACCGAAGCGGCTTTGCCTCGCGGTGAAAGTTAGCGCCGTGACGTTAATTGAGGAGCGCCTTATAGCGCTAAGGAATTAGGAATTATCCGCGGAGATTCCGCCGCGGCGCCGGCGCCGCGATCGATCTCGAGGAATCGCGACTTATCTATCAGCCGCATCACCGTCATCATAGATAGGGATCTGAAGAGCCGGTTCGTTCGACAGGCTAGATTTTTCCAGATTTCGAAGATGATGACGGTTAACTAATTGTCGGATCTTTCGCAGTCTTGGCTTTTCTCATTAGAAAAATACGATTAAGTTTTTATCGATTTAATTATGTCATTTTTTATCCGTTCTTAGATTTAATAGATTCCTTTAGAGATATTTTAATTAAGTCTCTCGGGAGAGAGAAGGAGGAGATGACGATTTTTATATTTTTTAAATAATTTAATATAATTCCTGGATGGAAGAGAGCGATAACTTATTTTTCCTTGCTTTACTTCCGAAAGAGAAACCTCTGAGTATTGTGAGAAATCAGAAATAGAGATTAACGAGGAGAGAAGTCTTGGCAAAGTGTTGTGTATACATATCGATTTGTTTTAAAGAAACTGACGAGCTCAGTTTAGCCGTAAATTCACACTTTCACGGTAAATGACGAAAGAGAGAATTAACATTCATTCGGAATCTTATGGTATATCGATTGAAATTTCGATTATATCTATCGTCGTATTCTGGGTCAAGAAACAGCTGATGCGCTTGGAATAATATGTCATGATAATTGCATCACACAAGTGTGACTTTCGATGCATTTTAATGTCGTCGTCGCGCGGTAAAAAATTCGACGATTTCTAAAATCGAAAATTCTCAAATGGGACTCTAGTGTGTAAATGTAAATGTATGTAGATCAGGATAAGAGCGTCAAGTTACGTTGTCCCTCTTCTTCACGTCCCACGTCTAGTCTAGACTGGAGAATCACGACGATATCTAACGATATCTCCGAGATATCGATACTTTCTAACGGTTCTCGATGCATGGCATCGAGAATGTCTGCTCGTTCAAAGGAACCAATATCTTTTTTTTTTAATCTTCTAACGATCACTCTTACGACATTCGGAGAAATATCTGGAGGTACAGAATTACACCGAATTCCAAAGCGTATTCCAATTTTGTCGGGAAATACGCTCGTACTTTTCAGTAATTCCCATTACGATCGGCATATCCATAGGCGTTCGCAGGATTTTTTCCAGCAGGGAGCATAATTGCATTTGTTTCTTAATTAAAAAAAATTTTTTTCTTAATTTTTCTAAATTTTATTTTCTTGTTATTTTCTTTTTTTTAAATATTAAGAGGATGCTACCGTAGTTCTGTTTTACCAACTTTAAATTAGATTAGGTTCACTTTTTATTGAATATACAGATTGAAAAATCCTCCACAATGAAAGCACTGATAATAATGAATTAATTCAAGTACGAATCTTTTGATACAGGCTTTTAATCTCATTTTTATTACTTCTGTATTATTCTTTCATGTCATCTCTATTAGGAGCGCCATATTTTGTGCACAAATAAACTGCAGAACTTTTGTATCAAATAACTATTGTTATGAGCTGATGCAAGAGGCCGATAAAGAACTGTAATTTTTTAACTTCTATTCTTTTTTTTATACGAAATTACAGCGTTCCTCGTTCATTATTATCAGTACTTTAATTGTGGAGCATGATTTTTCAATCTGTATAGCCAATAAAAAGAAGAGCCCTTGAGCTCAAAGTCGGTAAAACAGCGATGGTCAGCATCCCCTTAAACATTAAGTATACAAATAAATTCTAATGTTTGTTCAAAAGGAGTGTTCCTCGTTCATTATTATCAGTACTTTAATTGTGGAGCAGGATTTTTCAAGCTGTATAGCCAATAAAAAGAAAAGCCCTTGAACTCAAAGTCGGTAAAACAGCGATGGTCAGCATTCCCTTAAACATTAAATATACAAATAAATTCTAATGTTTGTTCAAAAGGAGCGTTCCTCGTTCATTATTATCAGTACTTTAATTGTGGAGCAGGATTTTTCAATCTGTATAGCCAATAAAAAGGAAAGCCCTTGAACTCAAAGTCGGTAAAACAGCGATGGTCAGCATCCTTTTAAATATTAAATATACAAATAAATTCTAATGTTTGTTCAAAAGGAGCGTTCCTCGTTTATTATTATCAGTACTTTAATTGTGGAGCAGGATTTTTCAATCTGTATAGCCAATAAAAAGGAAAGCCCTTGAACTCAAAGTCGGTAAAACAGCGATGGTCAGCATCCTCTTAAATATTAAGTATACAAATAAATTCTAATGTTTGTTCAAAAGGAGAGCTTAATTTTTTGTACTCCAAGACAATGCGGACGCCCATGGATATATCGAATAGCGATTGCGAGATGAGGGTAATCGAGCATCTTATATCTTGAATGTAGATTGCGGCGGGAAGAAAGGTCGCATAGCGCAACGTCGCGGATTCATTAATAATTGCATCGACCGGGCCGTTACTTAATACGCGTATGAGATGGAGGAAAAGAAGGAAGAAGAGAGAGAGAGATGCCTACGGTGCACCCTCGTTACCTCGGGAGACTTTCACATTCTGCCAACGGCGCGCACGATCCCCATAAATCCTTATTAGCGATTAGGCCATCCGAAATGTAATATCGATTCACCGCGCGCCACCGGATTGTATCATTAGCCGATGATGGATGACGCGTTGCGCAATTAACAATTATCCGGCAACACGCTGAATGCCGGAACGTTGTTGAATGCAACGAGATAGATAAGACTGACCTGGAGTCACTCCGCTATTGAAACAGCCAAGTCTTGGCATTTCAATGAAAATATAAGCGACGTTCCTGCGATGATGCGATTTTAATCGCTTTGAATTTATTGAACAATATTACAGCTGTTATCATGATGTATTATACGTATTGTACATACGGTAAGATATAGATTCCGATTAGAAAGTCGAAGACCTGATCTCTCGGAGAGCTTTTCTTAAATTTGCGTACCTCAGCGATTTTTATTTTTATTAAAAAAAAAAGAAAAAAAACTAGATACACCGCTTTTCCCTTCGATCGATTTGGCGATCATCGATCACTTCCGCTTGATTCCGAAAGTCGTGTCTCTCCTGGAAGGAGAAAAGTCCATATTTATATCTCAAATGGGCGCAAAATATGTGTGAGAAGAAATAATATATCCTTTTCCTTTTTCGCGTTTACGCGAACGTTGTAATTTATAATCCTCCGCTCTGTACTTTCGCCGTTAAATATATAATTTTATATCGAATTCTGCGTATAATCTCTCTCTTTCTTATGACGCGATCGCGCTCTTGTTTGTAATTCTAGAATGAAAATTAGACTGGAAAATGAGATTGGCGCGGTGAAAACTCCCGTCGGTCCTTCTTTTGGAGAGACAATAAATATCGGTGGTGCACACGCGAGAGGAAATATAATTTAATGAACCGTGTAAACCGCGGCGTCGACACTTGCTCGCACTTCGAAATTACGTTTCTGGTTTCGTCGTAAAATTCTCCGAGTACGCTTCTCGTTTCTCTAATTAATCGGGACCGTAAATCCACTCCTCGTCCCAGTTCACGAAAATAATCAAATCGGACGATCACACTGTCCAAAATAAGTATTTTATTTCGATTTATCTCGCAGTCCAATCATTATTATATTAAGCACACTGTAAAAAAATATGTAATATATTACACAAAAATATGTAAAATTACATAAATAATAAGTGTAAAATTACACAATAAATAATAGAAATCTTTACCTTTTCATTATTTATCATGTAATTTTACATTTATTATATATGTAATTTGACATATTTTTGTGTAATATATTACATATTTTTTACAGTGCAGAGATAAAAAGCTATACCGAGATATTCGCTTATTATCGTTATTATCGAGAATGTATTTTATAATAATTAATTCATAGTAGCTTGACCAGCTTAAAAAAATTAAATTTGGAAATTATGTTACTAAAAAAATGTTATGCAGCTTTTGCAAGTTTTGTATTAGTTAAATTCCCCCTAAAAGTATCTAGGTGCCAGTT